ATACTCAGGACATGGTCTCTACTATAAAGCAAACCTAGTCTGAAATTATATCCAACACATTTTGAATTTATAATAAGAGATTGTTAAAGGGATGCACCGATTGTGGCTTTCTCACTGATCACTGTGCCTGAAAGGAGGCAAAGTTGGCAACAGCAGGTCGACTTTTTTTTTTAACCGCTCCAGTACAGACATGACCTGATGGGCGGGTCCGTCAGCCAGGCCTCTCTCACGGCAGAGCTAAAGGGGACAGAGGCTAATTTTCAGAGCTTTGCTGTAAATGAGGTTGGTGTATAACGTCGGTTTCACCATTTATGGGTCCTTCATTAATTATGTGCTAATTTTGGTGGCATAAATAAAAGAAAAATGGTGACTGCTGCCAGTAGGTTACTGAGCATCAGTCAAAATATCCTCAAAGAAATCTAAAACCTGAGATCTCAGGACAAAGCCAAACATATTGCAGCATATTAAAAACATCCACAGCTATGAACCGACAGAAGCGCTCACTCCCCTTTCACAAACAGACATGCAAAAATAGAAGCTTCATCAACATTTGTTTTGAAATTTCTGTTTAATTTTCTGATCTGAGCAATAAAAACCTTTCGTGTTTCTCTCATAACTTTTCATTTGATCTTGTAATTATTAGACAGTTTTTACATTGCAGATAATCTTGTAGATTAATCCAGACCTGGTATGGTCTGCTGTTGAAATGCTGCGCGTTTGTTTCATGTCTGTCATGTTTTATGTTAGCTGTAAAGTGATGGAAGCATTTGAAGTAAATGTCATGATTACACCAAAAAAAATTAACTACAGCTTGTTTTCTAGGGATGGAAGAGGCAACACAGAAATATGTTTTAGATAATATACTAAACTTTGTTGTGTTTGTACATTAAATCAAATAGCTTTACACAAGTCTAACTCCACCATGGGGAAACAAATACGTCACAGCAGAAATGCAGTTAGTTTTCCAGTTCTGTGATGAAGAGTTCATTGTTTCATCAACTGGCTTCTCCTGGGCTTCTCCTCCTCCTCCACTGCATCCTCAGGATCTTCAGCAGGCGGCCCGTCTTCCCTTTGGCTCTGTGGATGAGGTCGATGACTATGATCCGCCTCTATGTCCGCCGCTCCTTCCAGTTCCCGAGTTCCAGCATCCAGGCGGAACAGAGTGGGAATTCTTCCTAGGATGGGGTTGTTCTGCTGGAGGCCGGAGATCCACTGGTTCAGAGTGGCCTGGTCTCCCCGGCCGCTCATGCACATGGCGAAGACTGGACCTTCATCCACTGAAAGGTAAATACACACGTGTTACACACTGTCAGACCAGTTAAACCAGGCTGATAGAAGGTTGCAGCCATCTTACAGTTGTCCACATCAAAGTTCTCCTCGTCCCCCAGGTCACGGTCCAAATCCAGATCCAGCTGCAGAGGGTAGTAGAAGCAGCGCTCTGGATCGTAGACTTCCTCTTCCTGTGGGGGAGAATGCCCACAGGGTTACAACTGGGAAACATGCTCACTGCATGGGTTATACTTTTACTTGGCAATACCTAAACGTAATCAAATCTAACTTCAGAAAATCTGTGTACTCTATTCTGTATACAACCATAAGAAGGTTAGGAAAATCAGCGGAAACAGAAACAGGTGCTCCTCAGATAGAAGCAGCATAAACTGTGTTGCGTATTTGTTCACTTCTCAAATGGTAGCACTTAACAGCCAATTCTGCATCAATAATGTTGATATGAAATACATTACAGAGGATTTAGAAACCTTTTCTTCAGGAGGCGTGGGGTCAGCTCTGAGGATGTAGTAGTGGACACAAGTCTTCTTCAGCCACAGGGGGAAGGGCCCCTCCACAAACACGGGCCTGTTTGGGTTATGCTTGGCCAGCAGCTCCATCTGGCTGGGGCTCTGAATGCCTGGCATCAGAACACAGTGAGCAACATGCAGTAACATACATTATGAAACTGATGGAATAAAATTTAAATGCTCATCTTTATGATTTGATATTTACATGAGTAGGAAGTCAGAAGCTAAGTATCTGATATTTATTCAGCTCTAACAAAACACGGCATTTTACTTGATTTCTAACATCACAACTTTTATTTTTGTTTTGGAAGATGACATGAAACTCCATACCTACAATATGTGGAAAGCTGATTTCTTCCCCACTTTCAGTAATGTCAGTGAAGGGCAGCTGTCGGGAAGAACAATCAATAACATGCAATTGAGAAAATTGAAATGATGCTGAATATGAATTCATTTGAAACATGGGAGTGACATCTTTAGTTGTCTTTCAGTAAATATACAACAGAATAGTCTGTTTTTCTCTGACCCTCAACCCCAAAAAACAAAAAACCCCTCAAACAGACATTATGATAGTGCTATAAGATGTATGATCAATGTGATCGATAGCCCACATTCTGATGCAGGGGTCTTCAACCCTGGTCCTCAACATCTACTGTTCTGCAGGTTTTAGATACAAATGAAAAAATTGCTCGCAGGTTACTCACATGGTGTCAAAGGGCACCGTGTTGGTGACCTCTCATCAACCCAAGTTTGCATAGTAAATAGAGTAAGTAGAGTATTTAGCTATCATTCACTTTTTAACTATTTCTGGACATTTCCATAAAATGCAACTAAACGGATACAAACTATATGTCGTTTGAAACTGTTTAGGCTTTGATGTTAAACCTGAGGGTCGCATCAAAACCCCTGAATGGGTCTGACTGATAAGCACACAGTTAGGCCCCGTTAAGTTTCTTTAGAAATGTTCTAGTTCTTCTTGATGTTGAACTAGAAAATTCAACATTTTCTAGTTGAATTTTCTGTACCTGATAAACTGTGGTTTTAGCATCCAAGTCGTTGGCAATGCGAGTCAGGCTCAAGACAGCCAGATCCACCGGGTCTTCAGGCAGAGGCTGAGGAATAGGGAAGGGATTTATGTGCTTGAACTTGGGGAACCAGTACATGATGCGTTGGTACTTTCTTATAGGGTGACTCTTCTCCCCAAAGATCTGGACCAGTAGGACCTTGGTCTCAATGTTGGGCATTATACCTGAAGCAAAGACAGCAACAGTTGAACTGGAACCTGTGGAATTCGTTCATTGCTCAGTGTTCCAGCTAAACTTGGAACGCTGCTCTCTACACGAAATGGAGAAGACACCTACCGTAGTTCTCCATCTGCTCCAGAACCTGAACCCCACACTCCTGCTGTCTGGGATAGTGGTTGAACATTCGTTGAATAAAGTTTCTGGGCACAAAAACCTCCTTGGGAAAAACATCCAGCAGTTTGTTGTATACGGTTAGGTCTCTCTCTACTCCAAATTCTGGCATTTTCTTCAAAGCAGCGTAGATGAACTCCACATGGCCACGCCGTCTTATGTCCCTCTTAGTGAAGACATCAATCACTTGGTTAAATGTGGCCTTGGTTTTGGTCTCTTTGGCCACCTCCTCAAACAAATCCCCCTGGGTGACCAAGGACTTGGTCTTCTTTGTGTCGTCGTCATTAACAAACCGTACAAGTTTCGGTTGATTCTTTGCCGATGCTGGGCTGCAACGAAACTGCCTCAGCACCTACAAATGTTATACATATGGAAGAAATGGTCATATTAAGCATAAACCAGATTGTGCATTACTTCATTAATGGAAAAATGAACAGTGTGATTAAAATAATAATGCAACGAGTCAAGAAAGAATGATCTGATTCGCATGGAAATCAGTCCACATGCAGACCAGGGATGTAAACATTGTATCATGTCTTTTGACTATGTATGTTAAAGATTTATAGTGTGTGAACCAGTAAAATGGATCAAACATTTGGCCCTTATACCAGCCCATTCAGTTGGGGAATGGGCTGGTAGTAGACAGACTGGAGCTCACCTGCTGCTGTTGGTTGTGTTGCACAATAAGCTGACCGGAGGACGGGGACAGGAGAGGGGGGCCGCGCTGTGCAACAGTCCGGCCGGACCGAACCAGCCGCAGGAGGCACCGGGAACACTTCATCCTGTCAGCGGGACCATCCGACACATTTCCTCCTGGCAGGACGGAACTCAGTCACGAACAGAGCTGTGATGAAACGACTAGGGTAGCGCAGCTTGACGGTTCCATTTTTACACAAACCAATAAAACAAACACATTAAAGCGGAAAATGTCAGAAAACTACAATTTATGTTCACACGTTTAGTTGAATATTCCTCACGTACACATTAGATTAACACATAAAGGTATTCTTAAACCAGCGGAGCAAACAAACATGCTATTAGCAAAGTCTCCTTCAAAACTTACTTCATGTGGACGCGTCCATGTTGGGAATCCGGCGGAACATCCGGGTTCTGCACAGTTATTATTCCCCCTCAAACAACAGAAACATTGGCGCACCGGAGTAGTTCCGAAGCATCTTAGCCCTTTTTTTGTTGCGCTTTATTTATTCTTTTTTTCGATATATGCTTAAATACATATATAAGCTCGGTGTCATATGTGAATTCAAATTTCAAAGTAAATATGAAAATGTCACAGAAAATGCATGTTATCATCTGGAGAACCGTGGCAGAATCCAACCACATCTTTCCCGTTCCAGCGCAGACTTTCATGTTTTTCATAACTTGATTAATATTGCGATATTAATATTAATATTTGCAACCTAGATGGAAGAATGCTGAAGAAGACCAGAGAGCAAGAGCAACGTCACATCAATTTGAAAGTCTCTCCAGTTACTATGACAAATTATATAATTATGTTACATTTTATTTATTCTTTCTGTTGTTAAGTTTCTTGATGTTAGAATTGCTCCAGTTTCTATGTTTATGTATTTATTTCGGTATTTATTTGCACTGGACATTATTTTTCAAAATGCCATTAGAATAAACGGCGTGATTTTTTTTTTTTTTTTTTTTTTTTTTTGTTTTTTGTTTGTTTGTTTTGTTTGACTTCATCTTCAGAACCAGCTGCTGTAGAGTTCTCGGTGAACTCGGTTCTGTTTCGTTTCAGCAGCTCGGCGGCGTTTTATTTAGAGGAGAAATCGCGCTTCCGGCGTCGCCATCCGCGCAGATTCCGAGATTGACACGCAGTGCGCGCGGACGCATCACGCTCCTCTCTCAGCATGGAAAACTCACCGTAGCCTGGCGTTGACTCCACATCCAGACAAACTGCACGTTTAACGCTGGAAGCTGCGCGTCGGGCTATGGATTCCTCCACCAACAGTCTGGGTAAGGAAAAAGAGTCAAAGTCGCCCTTTGCTTTCAGCTGGGATCAGTTGTGCTTGTGCGGATCGCTGGGTGAAAACTTCACTCCGGTGCAGCGAAGCAGTTCGCCTCGCTGTGAAAACCGAAATGTTGCCTCTGCTTTCGCTCAGCGCGGCCAGGAACATTTCTGAAAACCGAGCAGACTGTCAGCTCTGTCGTCCCGGTGCAGCTGTTGGGCGCAGAGCTGCCGCATTCTTCACCTTGTTTTGATGGGAGATTATAGTGAGGACTGACTCAAAGTCACTGCACACAGAGAGGAAGCTGAAGCACCACTTCCATCTCTCTCTCTTTTCTTTTTCTTCTTTTTTATCGCATCTACAACATGTGTGAGAACCTAAGCATGACCGCAGCCCTCGTGCGTGGGTGTGTGTGTGCGTGTGTGTGCGTGGAGAAGCTGCAGATTTGGAGTCAGCGCTCCTGCACGCGCCAGAATCGGCCAGGCTGTCGTTCAGTGCGCGCGGGTCCGAGGTCAGATCTGCTGCCTGGAAACTTGCAGCTGCTCAGTTGGACTTTCCTGGGCTGGAAGAACTCTCCCACTCGAGGTGAAAATGGAAGCAGAACGGGCTGCATCTGCAGCGTTGTGGCTGTGCTCAGCGCTCATCTGATTCCATTGAAGAACCATGAAATGACTGGAAGGAAATCTTTAGAAACGGATGGAAAATGTTTGATTTCTATTAGAATTACATATCCTACAACTTTGCATTGCAAGTCAGTGGCATTCTGCGAGCAACAACTATGTGTGTGTGTGTGTGTGCGCGCGCGCGTGTGTTGCACCGCCCACTAACTGTTTGTCAGAAACTGTTACACAATGCTGCTGTTGTTGCACATCTGTAGCTGCTGCTCGCCCAGTTTATGTGCTGATGTTGATGTTTACCTGCCTTGTAAACAGATGGAGTGGAAAGCTACAGAGGAGCTGTAAATATCAGCAGGGATTACTTTCCATGCAGCATCCGTGTGTGTCTGTGGTTTCCCTGCGCGGGAGGAAACCTGGAGAGACTGATGCTTGTCTCAGCAGAGCACCTTGTTCGTGGTGGAGGTCATGGTGCCTACTGATGTGTTGAGCCCGGTCCACATCCTGCTGTCAGACAATTCTTATTATCACGAGTAAGAAGATGTGTTGTAGGCCTGACATGATAACATTTTCATTGTCGCAGACGTAATTGCTGTAAATGATGATATTGTTGCTTTGAGACCATGTTCAAGTAATTTAATGGTAATGGCATAAAAATACAAAAACACCTTCTCAAAGACAAATAAACTTTGAATTCTAGTGAATATTAAACACTGGGACTGGAAAACATTTTTAAACGTCCAAAATAAATGAAGAAAACAACAGAAAATACACATAAAATGATTTCTGGAAGGGCGAGTGGAGACACAGCAGAACTGTATTGTCCAGATTTTCAGTAGAGAGAGAGAAAAGTAAAAAAACAATAAATCATACAAATGGAAATTACTGAACTTGTTTTAATTTATCATGCAGTTAATTGATTTATTGATTATCGCGATAGGCCTAGACGTGTAGAGACAGATTCCACACACACACATACACCTATCCAAATTGATGCACAAATTTTTCACATTATATTTAGTAGGAATGCACAACATATTGGCATTAACGTTGGTTTGTGTTTCAGCATACAGGAAGTGAGGAGCCATGTTTGTTTGGTCATGTGACAGTGATGCAGGGTGTTCAACTGAAGCAGAGAAGCCTTGTTGGTGGTCACTTTTACACAGTGCCGAAAGCGCAGGGAAATATGATAGTGGTAAACATATGTTTATTGATACCAGTATTAGAATCAGATATCCATATCTGTCCAAATGTTTCATGTCAGTGCATCTCTAATGTTTAGAAAATAACCACCTCTCCTCTTTCTTTACCATCGTCACCATGACTGCTTCCATCTCACATGCGTCGGCATCTCATCCACTAAAACATATATAGGCTCAGTCAAAGTCCGTCTGCTAGATAAATGCATCATACTGAATTATTGTCCTTTTACTTTACAAATACAAATTCAACTCCGTCCCTTATGAAGGCATTTTAATATAAATGCTTAGACCAAAGTAATCTGGAATCCGACTTTGTTGTTTTTGTTTGCGAGAAATCATCTCCAGTGATTTGTGCAGACGTCAGCAGGAAGTTGCATCAGCCAATTGCAGCTATTTGAGGGCTTCGCTCTTCCTCCAGAATGTTGTAATGGTCCCTTTCAGAGGAGCAGGCGTGCAGCTTTCCAGGAGTCTGCTGGGACAGAGTCTCTGTCTGTCTCTGCGAGTTTTACATTTCCAAACATTTTGTTGCTCTGGCTGCATCATGTCTGCATGGAGTGAAAAGCTTTACAGAACTAAGCTTTGGATTTAACAGACGCCTCAGTTTTTTTTCGGCTGAAACTAAAGTATTCTCAGGTGGTGGAATTGTATTTAGTATAATTTCACTTGATATGGGTTTTGCAAACCTTTTTGATACATAATTTTTCATTTAGTCTCCTGAATCTATGCATTTTTTTTAACATTCCAGTTTCAAAAACATGCAAGATTGAATTCCTCAAGGACACAGTGGTGGCACAGGGATAAAGCACGCAGCCATATGCAGAGGCCTTTGGTCCTCAACGTGGCTGTTACAGGTTCGAATCCCAGCCTGCATGTCTACCTCCTCTCTCACAACCCACTTTCCTGTCTGACCACTGTCAAATAAAAGCTACAAGAGCCAGAAAAAAATTCAAAAAATAAATGCTTTGCTCAAATTTCACAGTTAATTTCTAGTTAAGCACTGTCGCCTTGCAGCAAGAAGGTCCTGGGTTTGATTCCCAGCCCGGGGTCTTTCTGCACAAAGTTTGCATGTTCTCCTTGTGCATGTGTGGGTTCTCTCCTGGTACTCCGGCTTCCTCCCACAGTCCAAAAACATGACTGTTAGGTTAATTGGTCTTTTCAAATCAAATTCTCCCTAGGTGTGAGTGTGTGTGTTCATGGTTGTTTGTCCTGTTTTCTGTGTTGCCCTGCGACAGACTGGCGACCTGTCCAGGGCAGCTGGAGAGGCACCGGCACCTCCCGACCCCATTAGGGACAAGGTTGAACATATAATGGATGGATGGATGGTTTTGTGGTTGCTCTTTAGATTTGGAGGGGAATCAAACAAGAATTGAAAAAATAAAATCATTGTCTCCCATTGAGAAGCTGCTGGGATGAGATTACATATTGTGTCTTGTGACACTTCAACAGCCGTTCGGTTGTTGGACTTCAAATATGTTCTTGAACGTGTTGACCAGGTTCAGTCTCCTTCTGCAGCTCTTTCAGTTATTCCTTGTCTAAACGACTCGTATGAGGAAAGCAGACCAGACAGATTCTACACGTCTCTGTCTCTGAGTGGTAACCATTTTCTTGCAGAATGGGTTCTTCATAGGCCGTCTCTGAGTGGACGCTGCAAGCTGTTTCACTCTGAGACGCTGAGATCCTCAGTCTGGCTCCACAATCTCCCACTCACAGTCACCAGACCGCTAACATGTTCTCATTCTCACTGATGTGGCACATTCTAAAGTCACATGGAGAACGTGACTTTAGAACGTTCTCCACGTGACGTTCTCGCCTACGTTTTCAATATTAGAACACACACAAAAAAACAAACAAAAAACAAACAAACCACAGTAATAAAGTTTCTAAGACTCTTGTCAAGAAACTCCTTGTTTAGTTTGAAAACTCTGGTTTGGAATAATAGCTGTGGGGGTGGTGTGTGTGTGTGTGTGTGTGTGTGTGTGTGTGTGTGTGTGTGTGTGTGTGTGTGTGTGCGTGTGTGTGTGCGTGTGTGTGTGTTTGGGTGGTATTGTTCTGGAGGTTAGGAGCTCTTAACTCTTGGAGGTGCAATTGACCAGTTGAAAAAAAAAAAAACGTGACCACCTCAATAAAATTGGATTTCTCAACAGGTGGCGGCTATGAAGAATGGAGATTTTTATTTCTTTCCTCAAAGAATTTTAAATTATGTGTTTCTCTTCACTTTCCTGCAGCAGTAGAATCTTATGCCATAACCCAGCTTTCTTTATTGTCAATGTACAATTGTCTGTTGTTAGAAAAGTAAAATGTACAAGCAGATGGTATGTTGTCACAAGTCATATTTCCATGCACAACTTGAGAAAAGTTTTAAAATGTCACAAAAACACAAGACAAAACCCCAAAATAGAAATTATTATTATGAATTCGTCATGTTTTCATCTTCTGGTTTGGAGCAAATCAACCAGGCAACTCAAAGCATCATTTTGCCAGCTGTTGACTTTACGCATGGCTGCAGTACACAAAGAGCAGAAGCTGCTAAGTAGCATGGAGCACTTATCTCAGAAAAATTGAGGAATATTTTCAGTAAAATGTGGCTATTGGACAAATTGTAATTGTTTTTAAAACCTTAAACTGAAGCAAAAAATAAGCCAAGAGAAGCAGCTCGGCCGTCCAGCACGTTTATGTTTATGGACGTCGCTTGTGCGTCAGATTGACAGGCGTAATAGAAACACATAAATACTGAGGTTCTAATGCAAAGGTGCTAATACTAAGATGCTTGTGAGTTCGTTGTGAAGATGGCACACAGTTTATGTTTAGCAGAAATGGTTTTATGAACTAGCTTTTTCTGTGTGAACATTTGTTGGATCCAGCCACCCAAAGGAAGAATAGGAAACTGGTCAAAAAATAGGCTCAGCATTTGCTCAATCTTTAGTTGAACTATTTCAAACATGGAAATGCTTCTTCATATACCAAAAAGGATTCCTATGATGTACTACGGCATTCAAGCACAGCTGGACTGGTAGTGCAGAACTGCAGCAAACAGCCCTGCAATCAAAGAGTTAAATCTGATGGCTGGTTACTGAGTTAGCGAATCAACTGTCTTGTACAGCATGTATTGCATTGCAAATATTTGGGCCTTCATCAATGTAAATGTGGGAATTCATTTCTATTTCGATCAGAAAATAGTGTGTATGTCTGAC